TAATAATAATTGTTAATAATAATCATGATAATAATAACAACAATAGTGATAATTAAAAAATGATACTAACGATGGTAATAATGATGATGACATTAATAATAAAAAGATGATAATGATAATGATAATAGAAATAATTATGTTGATGATAGTGATGATGATAATAATGAAAATAACAATGATGATAATGATAATAATATCAATGATAGTGATAATAATGATAATAATAATTATAGTAATGATAGTAATAGCAATAATAGTAATATTAATAATAACGACAACAACAATGATTATAATGATGATATTATAATTATAATATTATAATTATAATAATAGTTATAATTATAATTATGGTAGTACAAATGACAATGATAATAATAACAATAATAATAACAATAATAACAATAGTAATATTAACCCATTGCCGCCGGGGAAAATGAACAAAAAATGGGGGAAATGCAGTACTCATTTTTTATATTTTTGTGAAATATCTCTGTCCATAGATGGCTCTGCTAGTCCTGATTTCACCTTTCATTGAATTGGCGGTTATTTTTAACAGCAAATTAGGATAACGTTAAACATTTTCGTAAATCGATGAAAAGGGTGAACGGGCGAGACAGGCTAATTGGCTCATTGGATATTTAGTACAAGTGTAGTCATCTATGTGTAAAAACAATCGAAAGAGTCGACTCACGGTGGGCATGGCATGTACGTACATGCCATCTCCGGCGGCAATGGGTTGATTATAACAATAAAAATTACAATAACGATAATGATAATAGTAAAGAAATAATAACAATAATCATAACAACAACAATAATATAAGAATGATAATAGCAATGCCAATAATAATAATGATAATAATAATAATAATAATAATAATAATAATAATAATAATAATAATATTAATAATAATAATAATGATAATATAATGATAATGATAATCATAATAACAGCAACTATGATGATGACCAACAATGACAATGATAATGATGGTTCATAATGATCCTGGGTTTGTCTATAAACTGCATCTGATGGTGCGACTCCGAGGGAGGGCCTTTCCGACTGTGGGGAATGTGAAGTTATCTCTTAGTTTTCATCGCTCCAATGTGCACCATGTTAAGGTATCCTGCTCGAGGAACGGCAAAACTGATGGAAGCAGATAAGTGGATTCTGTCGATGACTCTATTCAAATGAGACAAGCGGCGAGACAGAACGATGCACGGCGGAAAGTCAGTCCAGATAGTCCTCGTGCAAGGGTCTGTCAGCGAAAAAAGAACATAGAGAACTTCTACTTCACTGTATTCATGGTGTACGAGGAGAAAAAATCGGGATGGCTGAAACGAGACATGAGGATATCTTTAAGCGTTGTCAAAGGATTAAACACTGCTGGAGAGATCACAGAAGTGAATATATGATGAGGGTGCTGACATTCTCAGTGATAGCAAGGGCAATCATGATGTTAATGAAAAGAAAAATAATTATATGGGTATGAACAATAACGGCATTGTTAATGATGATGATGGCAATGTTGTTGCTACTGCTGCTGGCCCTGTTGCTGCTGCTCTTGTTCTTGCTGCTGCTTCTAATGCTTCTGCTGATACTGATGCCGCTCCTATTGCTGCTGCTGTTGCTGCTACCTCTGCTGCTCCTGCTGCTCTTGTTCTTGCTGCTGCTTCTAATGCTTCTGCTGATACTGATGCCGCTCCTATTGCTGCTGCTACCTCTGCTGCTCCTGCTGCTCTTGTTACTGCAGTTGCTCCTGTTGGTGTTGTTGCTGCTCCTGCTATACCTGTTGCTGCTGCTGAACCTGCTACTCTGCTCATGTTGCTGCTTCTGTTACTTCTGCTGCTCCTGTTGATGCTGCTGCTGCTTCCGCTGCTCCTGTTGCTTCTGCTGCTCCTGCTGTTGCTACTGCGTCTTCTCCTGCTGCTACTGCTCTTGCTACTACTATTACTATCGAATGTGATAGTGAAAAAGATATAGATGTTGATGATAGTACTGGTGTGTGAATAGTAATTACAATAAGAATAAAAAATAATTGTGGTTACTGTTGATAAGATTGCACCTCCATAAGATAACACCACTGATGCACTTAATACCAATGATACGAGCAGAGAAGAAAGACAAGGGAAATCACGTCTCACTCCATTCGTTCCTGTTTTCTGCTAAATCAAACAGCTGAAAGGAAATTCCCATCCGATACGGAGTAAGAATATGATTTACATGCTAATATATCTAAAAAAATGAAAGATAAAGAAGATGAGTAATTATGAGGTGATAAAAAAATATAGATTGATAGATGCAGAATCACTCAAAGAGAAAGAAACAAAGAATAAAATAGAAGGAAGGGGAAAAGGAGAAAGGAAAGGGGGACGATAGAAAGTGGGAAACATTTGATTATAGGCGTTTGAAAAATTCCTTTCTCATATTCCTATAATAAGAATAACTTGGCAGAGGGTTAGTTTCGTTCTGCCATATTTGTCCAAGCGGGGGCGTGAAT